AGACTGGATAGCTACTTTACCGGGGACTCTCTCTCTTTCTCGCAAGTCGTCTTGAATGTGGATCTCGAGTATGAGTCGGTAAAGCCATAGTACCTCAAGATTAACGCTTATTCTGTATTCCCTATTATGTTGTCGCACACGCGTGGTTTCGCGATGTTTGTGCGAAATATTGCCGAAATATTAGAGCTTAATAATCATTAAATTTATAATTATCAATTACAAATTATTAACAATTATAATTATCAATTTGATCGAACCCAACTCCACGATCGAAAATACGTAACTTAATTGTCAAACTTATAATTATGTGTTAACAATTATAATTTGATCGAACCTAGCTCCATGATCGAAAATACACGTAACTTAATAATTATTAAATTTATAATTAGCAATTACAAATTATAAACAATTATAATTGTCACTTTAATCGAACCTAGCTCCATGATCGAAAATACACATAACTTAATAATTATTAAATTTATAATTAGTAATTACAAATTATATACAATTATAATTATCAATTTGATTATTATTACAAAATAATTTATATAAAATAAATATATTTAATATAATTAAACAAAGATTTAATAAATGTCAAATTTTTCTGTCAGTACACAATTTTTAATCTTTTTATCAATTACGTGTGTTTTCGACAAAATATTGCACTGTGGCAATTTTAATTATATTTTTTATGTTTTATTTTTTAGAACATTTCCTTTGTATTTTGTTTCAAGCGAAGAAAAATTCCGACACATTTTTAACACTTAAAATTGCTTTGGGTATCTGTTTATTGACAGCGGAGTTAAATAATGATAACGTTGAAATATTTCTAATTTGAAATACGAATAAGAGTTTCTCGAATAAATGAAATATAAAATTTTGTCGAATAAATATGAAATATTAAGTCTTGGCGAATAAATCATCGTTGAAATATAATTACGACAAAATATATACAAAAGTAAATCTAATATTTTCGAAAATATACCGAAAGCGCAGTAATGCGTTCATATTCATAACATCTTGTTTGCATTTAAACGTGATATCACGTGTATATATAGCGAGCAAGAGTGTAACGATAACGATGAAATGAACGGTATCGTGAAATGCGCAAGTTGCGCGTCGTCGTGTAACGACGATGTGATACAATATCTGTATATTAAAGCCGTATATCATCGCGTGCATTTCGTAATTAGAGTGCGCGGAAAATAGCGCGTTGCATATTTATGCGTTTTTATCCAAATATTCTCGCGCGCGTGAAGATATATAAAAATATATAGCGCGGTTGCGTTTTGTCACCGACGCTCGTTTCTCAGAAACTTTATTACATGGAAATATTACGTTCTCGGGCAAAGGGTCGGGAAAAGGAGACAAGAGTGGTGAAGATTCGCTAGTTGGAGAGAGAGAGAGAGAAAAAGAGAGATGCGGTGCGCTTTTTCCTCGGTATTAGACAGCCGAGATGTCGGGAACCACCTCATTTCAATGTTCGCCCGTATTATTAACGGTCTTTTGTCGGCTTCAGGAAACTTCTCCGCCCTTTTGACAAAATCGTCGACGAGGGCGACGCGTTTATCGCCGTCTCTCCTCGCGAGTCGACACGATTTTTCTCCTTCGTGAAATGAAAAATTGTCGAGCGATCGCGCTTCATTAACGCCGAATGTCGCAAACACGTGATCGACATCTGCGATACTTAATAATACACGTCGCGATGTAAAATGCAAAAGTAGCAATATTTATTTATATTGGATTGCTTCATGATTAAATTTCATTTTACTTCACAAATTCGTTTTTAAGTTACTGACCATTTCTAACTTACCATATATTCTCCATTATATTTCTTCCTCGAAGAATATTCAAGGTTTTGATGCAAACAAAATTTATACATATTCATGGATCTTGACATCATAATGAAAATTTTTTCATAATTTTCGAGTGACCTAAATATTGGAAAACAATGGAAAACTGAGCGAGATTCGGAAAATAAGGAGAACGAAGTATATAGAACTGACTATAAAGCTTCAGGTTTTTCTTCTGACAATTTTAACCAATGTGGTGTTGTGCGACTCACAAAGGCTAGTCTTTTTTGCACTCTTTCTTGTAGTTGATACACTACAACAATTATTTTATTTGGATTCAAAAGTTTCTCAGAAGAAGTGATTCAGTCAATTATTTATAGTGAAATTTATTTATAAATTAGCTGAATATAACGTGTAAACATAAGCAGCTCAAATTATCAATATAATGAATCGATTGAATTAAATAATGTATATTATTATTATTATTATTAAATATATACATCATTGTATAATATATATAATATTGTATATAATTATGTAATTACATTATTATTGTATAATGTAATATATAAAATATTATATCATTATTATTTAATGAATCGATTGAACGAAATAATATATCTAACTATATTAAAAAAAAATTCTTATTCTTTTATCGATATTACATATTTTGGATGTGCATTCTCTTTGGTTTATCTTTCAGAAACTAATCGAAATTTGCACTTTTTAAAGCCGCGCTTTCATTACTGTCGCGCAAAATCTCGCCCAACAATGATGGTGAATCGAAGCGTTCGCTCAGCCAAATTAAAAATTCGAATCAACGTCGACGCGTCAATATAACGACGTCACTTACCGCGTCGCCACCTATTTCAATTACAAATTTTGTTCAATATTTACCCGATCAACTTTTCACTCGCGTCGCGAAACGAGACACGTTGCACAAAATGTAAAATGGTCGCCGAACTCGCGTAAAACCTGAAAATAGCTCGTTAAACTAGCCAATTAACGCGCGTTGTTTGTCTTGCGCGAGCTTTACGAAGCTGACTCTGTGACAAAGCCGCAGAGATTTTTTTTTTATGCGCGCAATTCTCTTTTACGCGTAACAAAGTTTCGATCGAATCGATTTTGCAAAATCGCATTAGTGACAGATGGTCAGATTTGAGAAGAGCAGAAAAGACCTCGATGATCTGTTCTATTTTTCTTTTTTTTTTTTATACCTGAATGAAAAGTATGTTATTGTTTATGGAAAAAACTGAGCACAAATATCTTTTTATTTGATAAAATATTTTTGTTACTCTTGCGATCCAAAAAATAATTCGATAATCATTATACAGTTTGGAAAAATCGTGATATTTTTGGAAAACTGATGCGCCAAAAATAGAAAACAAATCCATTAACCTCGCAATGCTCTAGATAAATGCTTTCGATACTTTGTTAAAGCTCGCTTTTAGACGTGCGTATAGTCGCGATGTTTTACAGATGACTGATTCGATTGTAATTTCGGATTCGTTGGTACGAGTAGCGCCGCACGAATGGAGTATTACAATGTTAACCGGGGTTCATCGTGCGGTTATAAGCGACTGCACTCTGAAATCGTGCATTAAACGTCGCCGGAGAGAATACGATCGCGAAGACGAGAAACGCTTTAAAGAAGCCCGGATTTAAAAGGCAAATTTAATAGCTTGAGGGCTAATGAATAAAAGCGATTGAATGATAAACTTAGATCTCTCCCTCGAGTCGACCGCGATACAATTTGAAATGCGGATTACAGAATCGCTGAAGCAAGAGGGAGAAAAAAGAATAGGAATGACGAAAAGACTTCGACATTTCCATTCTTACTCGGGGTACGCGAGTACGAGTTTTATCTCTTGGAAATATGTTTCTCAAATATCAAGAGCATATGCTTCAATGAACAAATCTCATAGCGATTAGATTCAGCGGCGGTGAATTGCGTTGAAAATGAAAAAGAGAGAATTATTTGATCAGATTGAGGGAACAATGAAAGTTTCATACGCCGTGAAAAATTTAGTCGAAACTTTATGTGCAGTTGACATACCGATTTTTGTACAAAAAAGATTCATTTTATCTAGTTTACAGTCGATTAATTCTGGTCACTTGTGTAAACGACATAGTCGTGCACAAATCTGCAATCTTTTTATTTTTCTTATGTGTTAACAATCTTTTGAAAATTTAAATTTAATTTATGTATATTTAAATAAATAATATAGCTCGTATATAGAATCTATACTTTCGGAGAAAAACTTTTAAAAACTGCTGGTATTCTCAGGGGGAATTTCTTTTCAATCTTGAAAATCAAGAAATTTTTTCATTAAATTTTTGATACAAGAAATTTTTAAAACATTTTGTGAAGATTCATAGAATTTTTCAAAAGTTGTCTCTTTAATAATTTTACTGTAATTTAGTACTTAAAAAACATGTTTAATATATCTTTCAATATTCAAGTTTTCATTAAAGTTTCACATGATTTTTTACTTGACAGTCTGCTTTTAGAATCAAGAGCTTATGTAAGATTCATAGAAAATTGTTCAATTTTTAATAGATAATATTTAAATAAATTAACACTATCCTTATTTATTTAATAAATACTGATTTAATAAACGAATGATTAATTTAAATAAATTAGTATCCTTTAAGACGTTTATAATAAATTAGTTATTTTATATTTTTAGCTTTTAGATATAGTAATATATGACATTCTCTTATTGTCTGAATTAATTTTACAATTAATAAGGCAATATTGAATGCTAGAAAAACTGCTCTCTTGATAACTTTACAATGACACGATTAACGTTACAAAGAGTACAATAAATTAATTTTAAAAAACTGTATTATTTCTCAAACTACAAATGTGATTATTTTCTTTGGAATTTCAAACGAAAATACCTGGAAGATCAGAGAATTTGTAATATACATCTTTTGAATTTTAATTCGTCTTTTAAAAAAATGAATGAGACACCCCATTTAATATCGCCATTCTAGGATTAACGATTCATATTCATGTAGTCAGAAAATGAATATTTACCACAAAAAACAATACATAGCAGCGTAATAGGATTTTTTGTACCCTCAGTATCGTGAAAAATTGCAATTGCTTCGAGCATCGCGTACTAATGTCCGCGTGTCCAGATGTTGGCAAGTCAATTGCGCGATATACGAATAAGTTACGATTTCCGCAACAATACTCACTCGGATCCTTGACGGCCGTGATGACGAGGCGGAAGCCATTCGAGCTGGTGCCCCAGGCGTCGGTGACGTATTTCAACGTCACGAAGTTGGTGCGCGTGTAAATCGCGCCCACGGTCTGCTTCGTGTTTCTGCAGGATAGGTCTGCCTGGAAACAAAAGAAAATTGCGTTCGTCGAGTACGTGCCACTTGAGGAAAGGTATTCTTTTTTTCCCTTTTTTTCTTTTTTTTTTATGCCCCGACTCGCTAACGATGCAAATGTCGCGAGCGTAATATCGAGCGAATGTGGAGGATTGGGGGATGAGGAATTGGACGACGGGCGCTTGATTTACGGAGATAGTTTTATATCGCGACGAGCTAAAAGTCCCAATCGATGCTGTTCGAGAAACGTCACGGGGAAACGTGATTTATATTGTTGCACATCTGCGGCGGGAAAAGTACATTTAACGTGAAAATACATTTTTTTTTTTTTTTGTATTATCCTGGCGCACTAAGGCAAGTCTGCACTGGATCTGGACTCTCAATTTGTCGGAAGCGCTATCTGTATTATTTTTCATTCTTTTTCCTTGCCACTGGCGTATTTCTCTTTCTCCTTTCTATTAAACTTTGTTAACGTAACGCCGTAAAATATTAATGTAACGTTTCGCAAGGAAATTTCAACCTGCTCCGCACGTTAACTTGCGAGAAGAGAAATCCTACCCTTAAAATTTTTTGTGACGCCTCTAGAGGCGTCGACAGAAAAGTGAAGAGTATGGATTCATATTACCCGGTGATATCACTCATATTACCGCGGGAATAATAAAACTGTTTCCTTTTACATGTCATTAACTCTCCAGTTCCCTCGCACTTTATGAATCGGGCAGAGCAATGATAAAGGGACCGTAATTTCATCGCGCGGCAAAAGTCAAATGGCAGCTTATAAAAGCCCGGGTAAACGTCAAATAACGTCGTTTCCCGAGATGGCGGGTACTTTTAATAAAGCGGCTATCCCACACGATATGTATATGTGTGTGTGTGTGTGTGCGCAAGAGCTTTTTTTTAAATTTATGTCATAGCATTTGTTAAACGGCTTAGAACGCAGCTTGACGCGAAACAAAAATGACGCGGCCGAGTAGATAATCCTGAAATACGGGCCGCGGATATCAATTCGAGCAAGCGTTGGAGCAAAACGCGGTCTGGTCGGCGAGCAAGAAATTTATTCGTAGATTCGCAACCCCTCGGTATCTCGCTCTCGTTTGCCTCGAGACACGTAACACACTTGTTGCACCCCTGTGAAAGAAACCGAAAACAAACAGCTGCATCCCTAGCGCGCTGAGATAATAAAAATATATATGGTATATATAAAAAAAATATACGCGATTGCGGCGTTAATTTTTTTCAAGAGTTGCATATGGTGTATTTCATCGAAATTTTGTCCGATGAAATTGCGACATTTCGTGTATTACTATACGTATTCGGCAAACAGATTTAATAGAAATTTTTTTTCCCCATTGTTACGTAACAATTTAAATTTCTTTTTATCGTTTATATTTGCGAAATAAACAAAAAACATGTACGCGCCCAGGGAAAATAACGAAATTACTAATAAATAGATGCAAGACGTTGTTGAGATAGAACAGTTTGTTATGCAAACTTTGTTGATGTTTTCCAATATTCGCGTTTCATTTAGAAACTAAATACAGGCGAATAAGTTTTATTTGTTAGCAAGCATTGCGTAAAACGTGCAATTTACATCGGTTTATCGCACTTATCTATTAAGCGAAAGTAGTGTAAATCGTAATTTCGTGCCGTAGAAAATTAGGAATGAAAGAGAGAGAGAAAAGTTTATAACGATAACAGTTTAAATTGCATTTCGTGCATAAACAACTTTTATCGAGACTTTGTATTATATGACGGATTGAATACTCTTGTATTTTTAGCTCGCACAGATCATGTTGTGTATATTTTTTTTACTTTAATCACCGACTTGACTCTAATGCAAAATATCATCAAATTTATTGTAAGCCGTTTAATAACTATTTTTAATTACTTCAGACAATATATAATTCACATTTAATTATCTCTTCTCGCTAACTCTTAACTTTCATCACCTTTCTCCTCGTTCTCTGTATACATACTATATATAAAGGAATATGTATCCATCCATATATAGAAATATATGTATATATCCATCCATAACTCAAAAACAATTTCTGCGGATCAGATAAGCTGAAATAATTAGAACTCTCTATACATATACGACCGCCTACATCTGAATATTCGAATTTTGAAAATTTTAGCTTCCTATCCTCATTTCACTTGCAATTATCGTATGTTAAAAAAATAGAAAAATAAAAGAGAAAATAGTGACACATTTTATTTCATGTACACTTTATCTACAATATTTATATAAAAAGTTGATTTAATCATTTTGAAAAATTATATTCTGTGGTATACAGATACAGAATAATTGTGATCTTTGTCGGTTCAAGATTAAATTATTCGTACATATTCGCATAAAAACGGAATGTAAATGAAATATATATATTTCAAAATATTACGCAAATATTGCACTTTAACATTTTTTTTTTTTACTCATAAATCGTGTAAGCCGTAACAAGACATTTTTCTTGTAATAGTCCAAGTAATTTACGATAAGCCGGTCATTGAATTTGCTAGTAGCTGTTAAGTAACATAACGTTGTTGCATAGATAACACGGAGAGTGAAGAGAAAAAGTATAAAGGAGGGATAATGTTCTCGAATAATTTACAAAGTAATTGTTCGAAGAACCAAGTCGGCGAGAATAAAATTAATTAATTAGAATAAAAAGAGAATGAACACACACATACACACAGAAATATGAATGCGAACTTTATCTCTATATCCTGCAGGATAGTTATTAATAAAATCACGAGAATTTAACAACGTAATTTCATACCTTGTTGTAAACGCATTTGCTTATACAAACGTTTCATGTAATTATTACTGTTCGTATATGAATTATTATCCCTTGCATTCTGCATTTGAAAGCTCGTTGGCGTTTCACGTTGAAGAGAGAATATCCTGTATAAGGGAAACTATACGCGCATATATTTGACGTGCGAGCAAATAATGTTTCCGATATACAGGGTGTCCGGTAATTAACGGACCGACGATTACAAATGGATTCTTTGGTCAATTTGGGAACGATTTTTCCTCAGCGAAAATGTCGAAAAAGATCATCATTTTTTACAACTTTCCAATATTTGTCATTATGTGTCTTTATAACTAAGCCTCGAATTAAAATTTTATTATAGTAGACTCTACCTGAAATTAACTGAAGAATGTAATTATGTTAGACTTTTAACTCCAAAACGTTGAGTTTTCAAAAAACCCATTTTTTTTAAATTATTGACTTCTCAACATTTTTGCTAAGGAAAAATCGTCTCCAAATTGGTTAGAGAATCCGCCCTTAATCATTGGTCCGTTAGTTACCGGACACTCTGTATAATATATATATATTGTACATGCGCCAATTCATTTCACACTCGTCACATTTGCTATTCTTACTGCTAAACTGTACAGTGCGAAATATTCAGAACTGTTAAATCCCGCTAATTTTTTAATTGATATATACCTCGAGTTTAAAATTTCAATGACACACATTAATGTCTCATACGTGTGTACATGCACGATCGAATTTTCAATACAAATTACAAAGTAAACAATTCTATTATCCTTAATGTTGATTGATAATGCTGATTTTCTCATTATTACGGTATACCGCGATAAATCGGAACTTGAGGACATTTAAATTTCCATTTCACAACACAATCGGTTTTACTTCATAATCTGCGTTTATCGCGAAGCGTTGCGTAATTCCGGGAGAATATTCTTTCCGCGCGATATGACAAGTGCGTTCATTATATCGATTACGCCTAATGAACGTGTGCCACGGTCAGATATAATTGCCGGAAAATCCAGCCGCTGAATGAAAGTCAGTCTGCGATCGCATTATTATCGGCGATATCGGCCTGATGATTCACCGGACTGATCTGCAAGGTCTATTTGCGCGCAGCAAATTGTGTACTATCCCCTGGTATTAGGATTGCGAACGGTGGTTTAATAACGCGCTCGCCGATCGACCGTGTGTCAACCGGACGGGCACTTGTCAATTCCGACGGCGAGAGTCATCGATCATGCGCGAAACGTAGGGTTAAGTAATCTGCAGCGGGAGAAAGGGTGGGTGGTAGGGGAGGACACACAACCCTCGTAGTTGTAGACTTAAGCCGGCGTGGCGGTAGAAAGGGTCGTTTCTGTACGACGAGGATTGTATAGGGCGCTCGCAAAATTACCCTTTCGCATGTGCCACTGATGTGGATCCCGTGTAAATGAACCGCTATACACTCAAGCTAAATTTCAGATTCCCGAATTTCTCGAATTTCATATACATTTAGGTATATTGGGCTATTTAAACTAAATTATACCGCAACATGATTAATTATACATGGAATTAATGTTTTTTGCCGTGAAACATACAATGTACATTGTAAAACATGTACAACATATAATTTTGGAATTGTACATGAATTGTGCATTTTGCCTGAATAAAGTACCGAAAAGTTTATACACTGATTTGCGCTAAATTTCAGATTCCCAAATTTCTCGAATTTTATATACATTTAGGTATATTAGGCTATTTAAACTAAATTATACCGCAACATGATTAATTATACATGGAATTAATGTTTTTTGCCGTGAAACATACAATGTACATTGTAAAACATGTACAACATATAATTTTGGAATTGTACATGAATTGTACATTTTGCCTTAAAAAATACCGAAAAGTTTATGCACTGATTTGCAATGTAAGATTTTTAGTAGCATGTGTTATTTTTTTTTATTTGTTTCTTTTTTGATTTCTTTTCTTTAATAAGCTTTTTTACAATCCAAATAAGATTATGTATACATAGATATACCTATTTAACTTTTTTATAATATTGTCAACTTTTAGTTTGGTTGATATAATTTTTAATTTTTAATATTCCTAGAGCTTTATGTATAGCTATGACAAAATTTGAAATAAAATAATTATACACATCAAATAAAAACAAAGTAATTTACATCATGGATCGTGATAAATAAAAAATTGTAATACAAAGGATAGATTTCTGATTTTATGCTCT